AACTTTCCGCCAGAGTTTACAGCTGGAGAACGCGAAGAAGAAGAAGACAAAGAAGAAGATCAATAGTCCCTTTCTGAAAAATACAAGATCACGTGACTTGATCATCATGAAAAAGAAAAGATGACCGAGCTGTTCTCTGAACTCGCTCATGTGTCAAAAAATAAAAACAATCATTGTATCAGTTTTGGTTATCCAAAATAAATCCAAAATTATAAACAATAAACTTAAAAATAGCCTTATGTAGAAGGAACTACATCTCAACAGTGAGATGTACAGTCAGACAGTTATTGGTACCATCAGAATTGGAACTCTTCACTTGCTGCTGAAAATGGGTACTAAGCGCTTAAGGGGGTGCCCTGAGGGCTATGATGTCGATTCTTAATTCAGTATTCAACGTATGTCAACAGCGACATGAAAATATAGACAGAAAGAGTAATGATAATAATATGCTTTCTTCTTTTACTTACAGCTGGACTCTGTAGCTCTCAGGAAGTACATCATGCTTATGTCAAAAATGGAACAAGGTCATCTTGGAGTATCCCCATATCTCATTCCACAAATTCCACTTCCACCAAAGTCACCTCGAGAAAGCAGAAACCCCCGTAGTATCAGACGTTATAGACCTGTTAAAAGAGAAACGCAGTCGGCTTCCCTGAAGCGCCCATCTACAGCTGTGAGTACTGTCTTGCCAGAAAAAAAGAAATTTTTCTTCTTTGTTGATCACTGTAGAAAGTGTTTCTGGAATCTTCATTTTCTTTCACTTCATTCGCTCTGAAGAAAGTGTTTATAATTTCTATCTTCCCTCATTTATTCAGAAGGAAGTTTCTAGAATTTTCTTCATCTTTGTTAATCAATTTTATGATTTTTTGTCAGAATCTTTTTTTAACCTTAATCATTCTGAGAACAGCATCTCTCAGACTTTATTTGTCCTGCTCATTTATTCTTAAGATTATTTTGGTTTTGTTGTATCTGTCTACAAAACAAGTCTATAGGTATGCTAGTCAAATACATAAGTTCTGAAGATGATGACAACATTCAAAACCTCACTAGGGCATAACACTGAGCGATAAACACCCATTGACAAAGTGCCAACATTTAATAAGTATCACCCGAGGACAGGTCTCAGAAACCCTATTCAACCCATAAGCTGGGTTTTAATAGTGCCCCTGGCAACAGCCAGGGGGAGGCTTAAAACAAAAAAAAATTGTGTTCGACATTGGGCCGCAGTTTATAGTAGAAACTTGTCATCATAGGTTTTGAAGAGATCAGGAATTAACCATGTCATCCAAGTCATGATAAAAGGATGGATCATGAATCTATGGAAAAAAAAGATCCTTAAAAACAACAATTTTACACACATGACTAATAAATTTGTAAACAAATTGTTTATGTATTTTTAATATTTTTTCCCCTCTCGATATATAGAAAGATATATAAAGGGAATAATTAACATGAACAGAGTGAAGCATTAAATCAAATACACACACTGGGGCCTAAAAACTCTATGCATCAGGTGACCCATGCCCTGACTCCATGACCTCTATCATAGAGGCTACAGGAAAGATTTGACAAAATTTTTTTTAAAGCTATTTCGTTTAAAAGGAAACCCCTGAATGGTATTTTTAGAAAAAATATCCACATCCTAACCTCCTAAACACTATTAGTTAGTTGCTTATTCTATACAGGACGTTGCAGAACCAACCCCAGCATTTCTTGGCCGTTGTGGTTTTCCTAGGCAAGTTTACGTCCAATAGTTTGCCATTGCTTTCTGGACGCTCAGCTTCTCGATACTACAGTCGAAACTAACACAAGGTGCAATGATCGCAGCTGGGATTGAACCCGGCACCCCAACATTACAAAACACATTCGTAACGCCCAAGCCACAGACGCTGACCTAAACACTGTAAGAGCATGAAAACAAGCCAGTCGTGTTAACCAGAAGAGAGTGTGTGTGTGTGTGTGTGTGTGTGTGTGTATGTGTGAGAGAGAGTGAGAGAAAGAGAGAGAGAGAGAGTCCATAGCAACCAACTTTCATTGTGTAAACAACACTTGACTGATTGATTGTCTACAACTTCAAATATACTTATGGGATGGAGGCAATCATCAAATGTGCGTCACAGCAGCCCTCATAGGAAGCAAAGAATAGTAACACTGCATCCTACCTTGCATGTCGCAAGAGGCGACTAAGGGTAGGGTTTGGCTTGAGGTTGGCTACCTCATCCTGGAAAACAATAGCCACAAAAACCAACCATCCATGGAAAAGTCAAACAGAGAAACAAGAACAACCCAGCCAACCAAGATGAGGGAAGGCTCTTCGAGTAGAAGAACTATATCACGATGTGGAGAAAGCTAAAAGAAGTCTGGATTGTCGAGACACCACCTTTCACCTAGGACATGGATAAGGGATCTAGAGAGTGAAGTTAAAAAGATGGGGAAGACATGGGCAGAGTTGCATGCGATAGCGAAGGATAGAATGACTTGGTGTAAGTTTGTTGAGGGCCTATGCTCCATGGGGGTTAGAAAGGCAGAAGAAATGGTGGCAATCATGATAGCGCTTAAGTGGACAGCTGGTAGTATAGTTACCAAAGCAGTCTTTGGTGTTTGTAGTTGTAAAAAGTTCAAAAAGGACAAATGTTGTATGGGCAGATGTTCAGCATTCTTCTATTTTAGTCCATGCTGCATAGCATTGTTAGTCATGTCTATGCGCAAGCTTTTGTCTCGCATACTTTCAATCAGTTTTGAACACAGATGATCTTCCATGCCACCTGGTGTTAGTAGTAAAGTCTGTCTACAGCCTTTTGTCTTGTATGCTTTCAATCAGTTCTGACACAGATGATCTTCCATGCCACCTGGTTTTAGTAAAGTCTATCTACAGCCTTCTGTCTTGTATGCTTTCAATCAGTTCTGACACAGATGATCTTCCATGCCACCTGGTGTTAGTAGTCATGTCTATTTACATCTTTTTTGTCTTGTATGCTTTCAGTCAGTTCTGATACAGATGATCTTTCGTGTCATGATTCCAAACTGTCCATCATCTTCTGTCTCATTCTCCCTCTGCCTCTTCTTCTCTGCAACTTTCCCATCATCACGATGTATTCCAAATTCCTCCTTCTTATGACATGACCAAAGAATGTGGATTGTCTCTTTCTGACCTGAGCAATCAGCTCTCTTCGCGAGTCAGTTTCTTTCAAGACATTTTCACTACTCTTTTGATCTGTCCAGGGTATTCTCATTGTTCGTCTATAAAACCACATCCCTACAACTTTCTCTTGCCTTTGCTCTCTGAATGTTTGACCTCCATAAAGTTATCTGCGTATCCTTTACAGGATGTTGCAGAACCAACCTCAGCATTTTTTTGGGTGTTGTGGTTTTTCTAGGCACATTTTATGTTTATTAGTTTGCCATTGCTTTCTGAGCGGTCAGCTCTCGGTACCACAGTCGAAACCAACGCAAGACAAACTGTCCGCAACTGGGATCGAGCCCAGCATCGTGACATTACAAAGTATGTTGGCAACACCTAAGCCATAGATGTGGACTCCCATACCATTGTCGAAATCAACAAAAAAAAAAACAGCTTAATACCAAATTGACCATGGCTAAATCTAAACTGGTATGCTGGAATTATGAAAAGTGCATTCATAACCCCTAATGCAGGATTTGACATTCAGGATTCAGACAGAAGACAGGGACATGATTAGTTGAATAGAGTAGAATGTTAGGGTGTTGGAATAATATTTTAGTAACTGGACAGACTGTGCTAAGTGTTATGTTATGATAGTATCACCCGTGTGTCACCAGGGCCCTCACGGGAAGCAAAGAATAGTGACACTGCACCCTACCATGCATGTCGTAAGAGGCGACTAAGGGTAGGGCTGGGCTTGAGGTTGGCTACCTCATCCTGTAAAAACCATAGCCACAAAAACCAACCAACCATGGATAAGTCAAAAAAGAGATGCAAGTAAAATCCAGCCAAACAAGATGAGGGGAGGCTCTTCAAATAGAAGAAGTATGACACGATGTGGAGAAGTCTTTTGTCACCTCTCTTATTTTTACTGGCTATAGACTGAAAACAGTAACTGCTAACACCAAGAATGGAATTCAGTGGACCCCTACAAAACAGCTTGATGATCTGGACCTCGCAGATGATATTGCTCTTCTGTCCCATTCACGGAATCAGATCCAAGATAAATTAAATATACTTAATGCGAGATCACAGCAGCTTGGCCTAAAAATCCATAAAAGAAAGACAAAGAAAATGCGAATAAACCAGGCTAATAGTAATGTGGTTCCTCTTAATGGCACCCCACTCCAAGACGTGGAGTCGTACACATATTTGGGCAGTAATGTAGATAAAGATGGAGAAACTGATAGAGATATTAAAATAAGAATACAAAAGGCAAGAGGGGCTTTCAGAGCACTGGGGAATTTGTGGAGGTCAAAAGAAATTAAAAGAAACACTAAACTAAAAATTTTTAATTCTAATGTCAAATCAGTACTATTGTATGGGGCGGAAACATGGAGAACAACTAAGACAATTACTAATAAATTACAGACATTCATTAACCGGTGCCTGCGCAGAATAGAGGGAATTAAATGGTATGATAGAATAACTAATGTAGAACTTTCAGAGAGAACTAAACAGGCTCCAGTGGACCAATAGGTGAGGAAAAGACGCTGGCGTTGGATAGGACACACACTGAGAAAACAGGAGAACAGCATAACTAGAATGTCTATGCATTGGAACCCACAGGGGCATAGGAATAAAGGAAGGCCAAAAAACACATGGAGATGAGAGCTGGCGAATGAAGTTGGAAAGATGGGGAGGACATGGGGAGAGCTCCATGCAATGGCGAAGGATAGAACGACTTGGTGTGAGTTGGTTGAGGGCCTGTGCTCCATTGGGGTATAGAAAGGCAGAAGAAGAAGAAGAAGAAGAATACAGACACTTTCAACAATTGTTTGCAAGAAACACCTTGTACCAATTTTTCATTAAAATTCAGCTTCACCCAGAGGAATCTGCAAAGCTGCACAGAGGGCAGCAGGAAAGTATGTGTGAAGTCAGCATGCACTACCATGGCAGCACTCTGTCCTTGGCCCACGAGCAGCTGGACCCACGGCAGGAAATTGTCATTGAGCAGCAACACTGCGGAGGGAACACCCTGACGGTCTTCAAAGACAAACTGGAACCTAACTGTGAGTTCTTGTCAGATTCTTCACTCTCTCATTCCCTTCTCTCTCTTTCTTCTCTTTTTTAATCTTTTTGCCTTTCTCTCTCTCTCTCTCTCATCCTTCCATATCTCCCATTCTTCCGTGTGATCCCTCTATCTCTTTCATCCTTGTCTCTGTCTTTTTTTTTCCAATGCATCTCTCTTGTTCTTCTATCTCTCTCTCTCTTTTTTTTCTGTCTTTCTTAACCCTTTTATCCATCTCTCTTCCTTCTGTCTGTCTCATCCTTTTGTCATGTCTTCCTTACTCATTTCTTTTTCTCTCTTACTTCTTTTGCTCTTTTCCTTCTCTCTGGATCACTCCTTCCTGTAACCTAACTAAAGGTGTTTGTCAAATGTGCTGGTTTTGATAAAAAAACAAAAACAAAAACCAAACAAACTAATATTTCTTTAAGAATTAAATCGGTACAAGTATCTTGAACAGTCTGCTGCCAGATTTAATATTTGTATAATCTCTCTCTTTCTCATTCTTCTTTCTCCTTCTTCTCTATCCCTTTCTATTTTCTTGTTCTCTTCTTTCTTCTCTAACAGCCTTCCATTTCCCCCATTTTCTCCATCCTCCTATACTAAGAGGTATCTGGCATGAGATTAACATTCCTCCATGTGGGTTCCAGTGCCCTATTTTGGCAAAGCACGAATGAACTCACCATCTTCTAACAACTAGTTTGCTGAAATGGATGTGTTGGATCGAAAGATATGAATATCCCAAGTAAAATAAGTAAAGGACCCTTCTATACCAGTGGTGCATTGGGCATATGTGGCTAGACTCGTATTTCTAAGACCAGTTGGTGCTTGATGGGTCATGTAGTCTGCATCACGCCGGCTGCCTTCACCATCCAGAACAACTTCTTCTTAGTCTCAGTCCGAATCGAGGTTTCAGCATCCTACAATCGGGTTTTCCCATGTTTGCTCCTGTGCATGTGAAAATCTAATGAAATGTCCCTCACTGCCACATATGAAAAGCTGGTGAATAAACAGCTAGTTCTGGAACAATCCAGAAATAGGTGCACACAGCAAATACATATTTCAGTTGCCAGAGGTGCCAAAGCCAATAGTCACCACCTGAAATGCAGTACGTCATTGATGGAAGTAGTCAGGCACGACTAGTTGGCCTTACACACTTAGAATTACTACATAAGGTATTCCACCAGCTCACATGTAAACTGGCTACCGACCATACTGAACACCACAAGACAACCGCTGTACAAATGAAAGGCATTTCACAGTAAAAATACAGCTCACAGGGCTGCACTAAGCTCAGTAGCTCAGGCAGTGAAACCGTAGACTACCGTCAAAAGACATGGATATCCCAAGTAAATAAGTAAAGGACCCTTTTATGCCAAGAAGGAAGAAGGAATGATGCAAATAGGAGTTGTTGTTTTGTTGTTGTTTACCATCCATAAAGTGTTATTGGAAGCAAAAATAACTTTGAAACATACCATTCTGCCATGCCTCCACCATTTTAGATCAAAAGCCTTCTGGGGGCAGTGGGTCAGTTCTCTTGTCCCCCAAAATGAGGCCCCGGAACCCACACATGGACATTACCTCGTACCAGTTTTAGACCGGTCAACCCAGACAAGCGAATTCTAACGCAAGTCCTGCAGGGGAGCGTCTAGCCACTGCACCACCATGTTGCCCACAGACATCACAGCTTAGTCCAGACAATTTGTAAAATTATAAATACTGTTCCAACCCCCTCAACCCTTCCTATGTGAGTTCCAGGACCCTATTTTTTCTGAAAAAAAATAAAATAAACACATTCTCCCCTCCCCATCCCCACCCAAAGCATGAAATACAAGTCGACTAATTAGGAATGTTTTTTTTAACGAAGTCAGAGTGCATCTGCCTGAGAGGTGAGGAACCAACAGTCCGCACACAAATAAGCCAGGTTTGTAAAATGGATGAGCACACAAAATTCAAGTTCAGGAAAAAGGCAAATGTCCAGAAATGGACGAACAAACATAACTTTCCACCAGAGTTTACAACTGATGAACAGTAAGAGAAAGAAGAAGAATTTCTTTCAGCAGTTCGATTTTCATTCCTTGTCTCTCCAGAACTGTGTATTTGATGGAGTTTCTTTAAAAGTTAGTGTGCTCCAAATATAAAACACTGTGTACTGAGCAGATATAAAGTTTTTACAATGCTCTTGTCCACAGCTGATTTCTCATTCCTGTCTTACCGACATCGAGGGTATCCCTTTAGTCTCACAATTTACGTTGACGGCACCATGAACTGCCGCGTCAGCACCTGCTGTGAGTTCCGGCACAAGCAAGGAGGCCGCATCGGAGGGAAAACTGGCCACTTCAGCATCAAGAGTATCTCCGGAACTGCACCTTGTTATAGGTGAGGGTAGTATTGTTAAATATGATGCATTTGTGGAACTGATGTATGTTGATATGTGTATTTGTGTGGTGTATAAAGTTTATGTTCAATGGGAGAAGACTACGGGGCAGAACAAAAAGGCAGTGGAGATATAACATACAGGCAGACCTTCAAACACTTGAAGTCAGTAAATGGAAAGGGAAGGTACAGAGATGGATGGAGATGGGTGATATCTGCAGTAATGAACTCAAAGGGTTTGGAAAGCTGAAGAAAAAAGAAGACGAAGAAGAAGAAGGAAGAAGGAAAAGGAAGAAAGAGGAAAAAAGAAGAAGGAATGATGCAAATAGGAGTTGTTGTTTAGTTGTTGTTTGCGTTTATCAGCTGTAAACCCCGGCGGAAAGACCTGATTGTTTGTCCATTTCTGGACTTTCGCATTATTCCAGGACCTGAGTTTTGTGTGTGCATCCATTTTACAGACTGCTTATTTGTATGCGGACTGTTGGTTCCTTGCCTCTCAGGCAGATGCACTCCGACTTAAAAGGAAACTCCCCAATTAGTTGACTCTTACAACATGCTTGTTGGGGTGGCAGTGGGTCAGTTCTTGTTTACCCTACAAGGGGCCCTAGAACCCACACGATGACAAATAGAAGTGACATAAGGATCTGACACACTCAGTACACTACATAAAGGCAAGACAAACATACAATCAGACTACAAGGGTAAGATTTATATTGGAACCCTGTGCTGGCTGCTGAAGATGGGTATGAAGTGTTTATGGGAATACCCCTAGTACTGTAATGGCAGCTCTTATTTCTTACTCCTGTATTGTAGGCTGCATCTGGTAAACTATAATTTTGCTTCAAATTCTAGATGTCAGGTAGAGAAAGGCATTCAAGTCAGAAGTCAGGCTGTCCGGCCCAAACTCAAGCGACCCCCACAAAACTTGGAGGAGGTGAGAGGTCATCCTGCAGAAAAACCAAAGTCATCGAAATCAGAGACAAATAAAAATCATAAACAAGGTAAAGTTTTTTTTACAATGATCTGTAATGGTAGTCCTAAAGCAAATACTTCTTTTTTTCCCTTCTGCATTCTTCTCTTTTGCATTTACCAACTCTAAACTTCTGTAGAAAGTTCTGCTGTTTGTCCATCTGCTGTTTGACCACTTCTAGACTTTAGTCTTGTTGCAGAACTTGAGTTTTGTGTGCACATCTGTTTGACAGATCTGGCTTATTTGTTTGCAGACTGTTTGTTCCTTTCCTCTCAGGCAGATGCACTCTGACTTCAAAGAAAACCCCCCTTATTAGTCAACCTTTATGATATGCTTGTTGGTGGAGGGGATCAGAGGGTCCCCCCCCCCCCCACAATTGGGGACTGGAACTCACATGGGAATTGTCTTTTTTTACTCTTAAAAAGGTGGTTGACATGCTGTGTTGTGGTTTACAGCAAGACTCTGATATCTTTGCCTTTCAGTTTTATCAAACCCTTAACCTTAATGGTTGGTTGCATAGTTTACCATCACACATCAGACGAAAACCCTTAATAGGTTGTCTTTTATGGTATGTTTGTTAAGGGGCAGTGAATCGGTTCTCTCCCCCCTCAGAATCTTAGACCATCATACATTCTAGGCTTTAACATATCTTCTTTTTCGCATTTACTGGCTGTAAAACTCAGATGGAAAAGTTCTGTTTTCTCATTCTACTCTGAACTTTGATCTTATCACAGAACTCACATTTTTCATGCACATCCATTTTACAGGTCTGCTTTTTTTGGCCCCCCCCCCCCCCCCAGGTAGATTGACTTTTAGTGTGTGAAGAAAACGCCTCTAATTGGTCGCCTTGTATGACATGCTTGTTGTGGAAGTGGCTTGGGGAGGGGGGGGGAGGAGTAATGAGTCTATTCCCTGACCAATAGTAGCCTAGAATCTTAGGTCTTCACATATTGTAGGTCTTCACACATTGTAGGTCTTCACACATTGCAGGTCTTCACACATTGTAGGTCTTCACACATTGTAGGTCTTCACACATTTTCAGGTCTTCACACACTGCAGGTCTTCACACACTGCAGGTCTTCACACACTGTAGGTCTTCACACACTGCAGGTCTTCACACACAGTCAGATCTGTAAAATGGACTAGCATGCAAAGCTTTAGTTCAGAAAGTCCAGAAGTGGACAAAAAGCCAGAACTTTCTGCCAGAGTTCTGCACAGTGCTTATAAGGGCTTTTGGTACATTGTGCTGTGGTTTACAGTAAGGCTATGATGTTTGCTCACTTCTTCCCAACAAATCAAGGCAAACCATTTATTAGTTATCCTTTATCTTATGACATGCTTGTTGACGAAAAGTGGGTCTGCACACCCCACCCCCCCCCCCCCATTTCCCTAATAGGACTACAAAATCCACATATGCTAATGTGGACACCATTTACCCCAGTTTAGTCCTTTGGGTTGGACAAGATAATATTTATGTGACATTTATTACTATTTCACAGAACAAGAGGCAAAGAAGCAGATCTTAGTACCAGTAGAAACTGACGAGCAGAATGGAAATGGTAAATATTACTGTAAATCTAAATTATAAAACTACCCCCTATAGGGGAGAAGGTTAATGTATTTCCACAACAGATACTAATGTTGAACACAAAACAGATGATTTCCAGTGGGGGTGAATAAATAGGAGAAATATATGGGAACCCACTGGTAACAACAGTTCACAGATAAAGGAGCTGATGCCATATTGGACTCAACCTGAGAAGAAACAAGAGAGCATGAGTATAAAAAAACACACAAAGGAGGATCCTTTTTTATGTCTTTAGGATATTGGGCATTTAGTGCTATACCTATATTTGTTAGATGCCTGGCTCTCTAGCGTAGTTGGATAAACCGGATTGCGCGGTGACCGAGTGACAAACTCCTTGTGGTCCGGGTTCACTCCCGGGGGTAGGCAGAAAAGTCATATTTCTCCCAGATTTACGGTATTTACAATGGAATCAAGGCCGACAGGTTGCGATATCCATAATACCGAGCCAAAGGGTTAACAACACATGGCTTCTGGATACTAAAACAAACAAACAATATTTGTTAGACCAGTCAAGACTCAGTGGGTGATGTTGTCAACATCACTCCAGCCAGGTATATTTCCCAGGACTTGAGCTGGTATCCATTTAAGGCTGGGCCGACCTGGGAGACAATTACTAAACAGGAACTGTAATGGGAGATATAAGGACTAAGGAAGGGAAAAAGAAACCCTAAAAGGAATGCTGATTAGAGAGGCCAAAGGGGACTGGATTTCATCAATGATATTGAATTGATTGCACAGGACAGAATGACATGGAGGAACATACTGCGAGCCCTGTGTGACATATAATGACACCACAGGCCACTAATAACAATAGGGTTAAAGGGTAAAGTTGGAAGGATCAACCTCATTGCACCGGGTTTTATTCCATATGGCTCGGTCTTTCTTTGCAGAATGGCTAGCTGCCTGCCGAGAGCGCCACGCAGAGCACGAACTTCCTAGTTTCGGCGATGATCACCAGGGATCTCCATAATAATTGCACTCATGAAGTGAAGGGCACAGCCGTGTAATGAACCCATGACCTTTAGAGTGCGAGAAAAACGGCTTGAAAGCTTTGCCACGGAGATAACAATAGTAGATACTGGGATATCAAGTGTTGTGCTTCTATGTAATTTAGGCCATAAGAAGTGAGGTGCGGTGCATCAGGCATTTGAGAAAAGCACCCATATTTTTACATACCAATCGTCAGTAGGATGGTAATGTGATCAGCAATATGCCGGCCGTCTTTACTTCCCCAGGACATACATCCTAGTTCCCATTTTCGGCTGGGTCAGCCTTCCATAGCATAGGGGACTGGCTGGGTCAACCTAGGAGCTAAAGTCAACTTTGAAAAACATCCACTTCAATGTGGATTTACACCCTAGACTTTCAGGCTGGCAGGAAAGCATCTAGCCACTACATTGCTACAACTTCTGGGATAGCAGATAGGGGTAACAGAAACAAAGGTTGTATTGGATGTCTTTATGGGATGTCACAAAACAGCCCAAGCATTTATTGGCTGGATGCCAGTCTCTAGAACAGAAAAGTGATTCCCAAACTGCGACGAGGCGCCCTGGGAAGTCGCAACCTCTTCACAGGGGTGCTGCAAAATATTCGAAGATACACAGGTTTTATTTTTTTAAATGATCTCTTACATACGAATAGTCCTGCTTTTACTTAGTTAGGGCACAGTGGAAAAATTTTATTTAAAAAAAGGTGTCACGACTTACAACAGTTTTGGAAACTCTGCTCTAGAAGACAAAGAGGACAGATGAGTTGGCAAGAGCAAGAAGTAATTCTCCGCAAATTACCTGTTTCTACATTTCTGTTGTGCTCCATACCGGTGGCAAGGCATTTGATTTTTATAATGATGTGCCTGTGGGTGGGTGTGTGGATGTATGTATTTATATGTGTCTATGTATGTATGTATGGGGGTCGTCGTGGCAGAGTGGCTAGATGCTTTGTGCAGATTGGAAGGTCGTGGGTTCGCTTCCTGGTGGAGCCGGACTTTTTTCAAAAATGACCTTGGCTCCCAGGTTGACCTAGCCTTGAGTGAGTACCAGGTGCATTCCCGGAAAGTAAAGGCGGCCGGCATGATGCTGACCACATCACCCATCTTGTGCCGATTGGTCTATAAAATATAGGTCTAGCCCTACATGCCCTATAAGCTTAAAGGCGTGGAAAAAGGTTCTTTACTTTACTTTTTTAACTTTGTATGTATATGTTTGTATAACTGAGTGGGTGGGCGAGTGTATGTGGGTGTGTATTTATTTTCTTGCGCGTGAGTGTGCGCATGCATTTTACCACCCCTGCTTTCGTGTTTTTTCTTGATATTCACAATATGCATATTATTATGTGAACATAACATGCTTTATTGTCAAAATACAACTGCCGTGTGAAAGCTGGATGTTTGGAAGGGCCAAATGTAAAACGGGCCTATGTGCCTAATTTGTGAGCCTTCGAAAATAAAGTTTATTTGTTCCCCTACCCTATAGGGAAATGTGATGATGGTGTGCTTTATATATCTTCCCTTCTCCCTAATGAGAAATGTGATGATGGTGTGCTTCATATATCTCCCCTTCTCCGTGTAGTGATATGTAATGATTATGTGCTTCATATATCTCCCCTTCTCCCTAAAGTGATATGTAATGATTATGTGCTTCATATATCTCCCCTCCTATAGTGATATGTAGTGATTATGTGCTTCATATATCTCCCCTTCTGCCTGTAGTGATATGTAATGATTATGTGCTTCATATATCTCCCCTTCTCCCTGTAGTGATATGTAATGATTATGTGCTTCATATATCTCCCCTTCTCCTATAGTGATATGTAATGATTATGTGCTTCGTATATCTCCCCTTCTCCCTGTAGTGATATGTAATGATTATGTGCTTCATATATCTCCCCTTCTCCTATAGTGATATGTAGTGATTATGTGCTTCATATATCTCCCCTTCTGCCTGTAGTGATATGTAATGATTATGTGCTTCATATATCTCCCCTTCTCCCTGTAGTGATATGTAATGATTATGTGCTTCATATATCTCCCCTTCTCCTATAGTGATATGTAATGATTATGTGCTTCATATATCTCCCCTTCTCCCTGTAGTGATATGTAATGATTATGTGCTTCATATATCTCCCCTTCTCCCTGTAGTGATATGTAATGATTATGTGCTTCATATATCTCCCCTTCTCCCTGTAGTGATATGTAATGATTATGTGCTTCATAGATCTCCCTTTCTCCATGTAGTGATATGTAATGATTATGTGCTTCATATATCTCCCTTTCTCCATGTAGTGATATGTAATGATTATGTGCTTCATGTATCTTGCCTTCTCCCTACAGAGAAATATGATGATGATTTTGAAGCTGACAGCAATAAGTCTGACAGTAGCTCCAGCAGTTCAAGCAGCTCAAGTTCTTCAGAGTCTGATACAGAAGGTAAGTGATTTCCAAACTT